GACAGCTCAGAATAAACAAAATAAAAGGAAAACTCCTCAACGAATTATTTACAGTATAGACCTGCAAGAAAGGTCACAACTCTACTGGTAGAAAAAGCATGTACTTTGTGTTAGACAAACATGAATCTGATTAACAGTGCTATTTCTAAATGGCCTGGACATTCAAGTAAGTATGGAGCTGACCTATGATAACTACTGAATACATAGGAACTCTGTATTATATGACATGTAAAACAGTCATGCTCATGAGGGTGTCATTTTATTTTTTTAAGAACAGAAAAAAAGCAAGGAAGACGAATATAGGGAACACCTGTTTAGAATGGCTTTGACTGTGAACTACTACATTTTATTTTTCATCACATTCCAAAATCTTTCTCATTCAAGCACCTGTACAATGCTGGAGGAGACATTACGGCCAAAATACTATTAGCCATTTTCCTTTCAAAAAATGAAATACATTTGTAAACATCTTTCTTCAATAAAAGTGGTTTTTAATATAAATTAATTATCAAAGAGAATAATCTTGAAACAGAGAATAATAATTCTAAAGTCGCCTCCCCCCACTCCACAATTATAAAAGTAGCAAATGTTTCATGACAGAAAAAATATTTTTAAACACAGATAAACAAAAAGAAAAAAATTAAAAGCTATGTAGAGATTAGTATAGTTAAACCAGGGAGTGCATAATTCTAGATTTTTTATTGTATATAGTATAAATGATTAATGTGTCTATATCTATATTAATAAAAGTGAGATCATATTATATACAATGATTTTGCAATCCACTTTTCTAATCAAGAAATAATTAACATATCTTAAACCAATAAATATCTATCTCCATTAATTTAATGACTGACATCACATTATGTGAATATATAATAATTTATTGAGCTAACACATCTATTACTGGCTTTTAACTTATTCTCTACTCCACTATGCAAAAGACAATAAATACTATGTTGAACATACTCACATCTGAATTGTATAATATACCCATGATTATTTCATTAAGTTAGAATGCTAAAAGTGGGATTGGATTGCAGGGTCAAAGGTAAGCAAATTTTATGAGTTTTTTGAGGCATATTGAAAAACTGACCACCAAGAAGGATATACCAATTTACACACCTTCCAGCAATGTATCAGAATACCGATTTTTGGAAATGTTTCTCATAAATATTGAACATCATCATTTTCTTATTTACTTTTGGCAAGTTTATAGGCAAAAATATCCTACAACATTAATACGTTTGTCTTATTACCAGAGTTGCATATTTTGTTCATGTTATCTTATATTTTTCTTCTTTTCTGACTGCCTAAAATACAACATTTACAAACTTTCCCAAGTTGTGTGTTATTTTCTTACTAAATTTGAAACAATGTTGTTATATTGTTATATAGTACAGATTTTAACCTTTTGGAATACTTGTTACGTACTTTTTTTGATATGTTTACATTCTATTTTCTTTATTAATTCTTTTTAGGTATCTTACAAAACAGTTATTTTTATTTTTCATTTACATCCAAGTTAGTTATCATATAGACCACTAACGATTTTAGGAGTAGAATCCAGTGATTCATCCCCTACATGTAACAACCAGTGCTTATCCCAACAAGTGTCCTCCTTAATGCCCCTTGCCCATTTAGATCATCTGCTCCACCCAGAACCCTTCCGGGAACCCTCAGTTTTTCTCTATATTTAAGAGTCTCTTATGTTTCATCTCCCTCCCTGTTTTGTATTATTTTTGTTTCCCTTCCCTTATGTTCATCTGTTTTCTTACAAAACATTCTATGCAGCCAAATTATTAACCTTTTCCTTAATGATTTCACTCTTTGGTGTCATCCTTATTTTATTTTATTTATTTATTGAGAGAGAGAGTATGTACATGCAAGTGGAGGGGGAGGGTCAGAGAGAGAGAGAGAGAGAGACAGAAAGAGAGAGATGGGGCGGGGGGAGAGAATCCTAAGCAGGCTCCATGCTCAGCACAGAGCCAGACACGAGGCTCCATCTCACAAACTGGAAGATCATGACCTGAGCCGAAATCAAGAGTTGGAAGCATAACAGACTAAGCCCGTAACAGGCCCAGGTGCCCCTGGTGTCACCCTTAGGATGCTGACTCACAGATTACAGAAATATTTGCTAATATTTTAGACAAATAAATACTTGCTAATATTTTTATTGATTCTCCCCTAATTTCTTTCTTTTTAAAAATGTAAACAGTCATTGGATCTAGAACTTATTTTGATAAGTGAAGTTTGGACTTAACATCTTTTTATCCACATTAGCAGACAGTAGTGGCAACAGCCATTGCTGAACGCCACCTTCCCCATATACTAAATTCTTACATGTACTTTGAACTACTTCCAGATTTTATGTTCTCTTTCTTTATCAGTTTATTCCAATGGGAGAAGGGTATTTAATTGAATTTTCAGTGTATAATGAACATTTCTAGGAAAAGACCACACTCAATTTACTTCTTCATATCTTCTGGCAAATACTGTCCATTTTTGTCTCCAAATAAATTCTAGAATCATTTTGTTAAGATGACCCCCCACCACTAAATTCATATCACTGCAATTAGATTAATTTTGGAAAAATTCTCTGCAATATGAAATATTCCCATCTAAAATACTGCATATATTTGTACATAATAAAGCCTCTCTTAAATTACTCTGTGAAATGTTCTTCACATTGGTCCTACATATAACTTGTTAAGTATATTTACAGGGATCTTATAATCCAATAATGAATACAGCATTTTTTTAAATTTGTTTTCTAAGTGGACCATCTAACCAACTAAAGTCTTACTGGTCCTAATTATTTTTTTAATTTATTTGCGGGGAGAGGGGGTTATCCAACCACACAGTAATAATCTATGAACAATGAGAATATGTATTATTTATTTCTTTTTTTTTTTTTTAACCTTATTTGATAGAATAAAAGCAGTAGTAAGCCCAATGAGGGGCTGGAACTCGTGAACTGTGAGATCATGACCTGAGCTGAAGTCAGTTGCTTAACCAACTGAGCTACCCAGAAGCCCCACCATACTTCTGATGTAAATGCAAATAAATGTTTTTAGTGTTCCACTGTTAAATCCATGGTGGTTGCTGAATTTCACATAGGTGCTCCCTATCATGTTACTGAAATATTATATTGGTTGAATTTTACTAAGTATTTTTTGTAATCAGGAGTGCAGGCTGGATGTTGTACAATGCCTTTTTAGAATACACAATTATGATCTTTGTCTCTTTTACCTAGTAATGTGATAAATTATATTCACCGATTTTTAAATATCAAACCATCCTTGCATTTCCAGAATAAGTCCTACATAGCAGTGGGAAATTACTTTCTTCAAACACCGTGGAACTGCTTTGCTAAAATTTGATTCAGTCTGTTTTCTTATTCATAATTGTGAGATTGGTTCATCATGTTCTCCTTTGTGCTACTTATGCCTGGCTTCAGTATCAAGATGAAGCTAGATGAAATGACCTAGTTTTCTGCAGGCCAGTGCTCCCACCGAGCAGTATAAAAGGCAGTAAAAAACGGACACACGAGAAGACTATGAAGCAATGAGGACTAAAAGGAATAACGCTGCAAAGAGGGCAGACCTTTTAAAGGTGAGCTGAGGCTCTGCAGCCATCCCTGGAGGCATCTGCCAAACGTGGGCATAGGAACAGACCAAAAATTTGGGTTAGGCGCAGGCAGGGGAGTAACTACTGGGGTGAAAAAAAAAAAATCACTGAATTTTTGTTGTTTCCACGGGGCTGAAGTGCCAAAATTGGAGATTTGAGGGCCAGCTTTCTCCTCAGACATTTTCTGAATTCTAAAGCTACACAGCAGAGGAAAATAACGGTCTAAGGCAAAACTTTTGAAAAGCAAAGTAAGATCTTCCCCCAGTCTTACAGTGTATCACAGAAAAAGATTCACTAGTGGGAGGATTCATGAGAATTTCAGTTGGGAGCTGAAAAATCTTGAGGGAGTGGTAAATTGACACTGACAATCTCCAACCACTTTTTTCCTGTTGGCAACTGTTGATCTGGGGAATCCTCCTTCTTAAGACATTTGCCAAATTCTAAAATTAAAAAAGGCAAGAGGCTGAAAGAGATAAGGTTCCTCTGAAAAATGGAAATATCCATAGTCCTCTTGGTCCTGAAGAGACAGTGATGTGTCAGGCTCTCATTAAAGGCTCTAAAGAACCACATACTAATAACAGGGGCAAACGAAAGGTATGCTGCATCTACAATCCAAGCTTGACCCAGATCTGCGCATGAAGGGAGTAGGTGATGAGGCTCAAACCATAACCCATCTGCCCATACTACCTACTTAGTAAAAAAAGGGATAAACCGACTTTAGTTGGAAATGTCCTCACCTGGAACCTCTACATGTTTTAAATAAATGCAATGTCTAACATCAACCAAAAATTAACAGAAAAAGTCAGGACCATATGACCGAGAACCAAAAAAAGGATCAAAAATAATTCTACCCATATGTAGATAAACTACATATTACCATTAATAAACATAAAAAAATAACTTTAAAATTACTAATTAATATGCTAAAGAAAATAGAGAAATGATAGATAAATTAGATTAAAAGATGGAGAATTTCACCAGATAGTTAAGGTTATAAAAAAAAAAATTAAGTGGATATTCTAGGATTAAAGATACATGCCTGAAATTCTAACTCCTAAGTTTTTCTTCTATTTCTACCATAGCATGCACTATGTGTTTGCACTAATTACTTCAGGTGAAGTTAGGAGGAACAGAAATACACATGATATTAGGGACCATTTTCAACAAAATAAAAAAAACTGCAAAACTCAGTGAGAAAATGATGGAAGAGATCTCTAAATCTCATCAAGGGGCAATAACTATAGTGTGAGTTTTTATATCCTGAAGAGCCTCCTGGCTAGTTAAAACAGAAACAAACATCTTTCACCAAGATAGATTTTAACAAAATTTTCTTCTATATGATGAGCAAAGTAAGAGCAATTGTCACTTACAGGAAGGTGTGTGAATACAGCAAAAGTGCTTCGTAGAAAGGCAATGAGGTCTACTAGGTAATCACTAGCTTTGTTGCCCAAATCTCCAGTCATCCAGTCATAGTCAGCCAGCTGTAGAAACTGGTCAATCTTCTGGTTTAAATTGGTATAAATTTCTTCTTCAGCTGCATGTCTGGCATCCTGTGAAATATGGAATTTTAAAACTCATTCAGACTTCCAGTATAATCAGAAATTTCTACTTGGAGACATCTCATACTTATATCCACTAAGTAACGGAATTGGGACTATCAAGACTATCACAGTCTCCATTAATTTTTCCTTTTCAAAAGTATAGTAGAGTCTCTTCATTCTGTGTCTGCAAGACAATCTATTGTTTTGCGTCACCAGATAGAGAATCTGTCTTTACTTCCCTCAACTATCTGCGTCCTTTTTTTATTTTCTTACATTTCTTCAAACCTATACTCACTCTCAGGTCTTATTCCCATTCATCTCTTCTAGGACTCCAAGAACCCCCTTTCCTGTAATACCAACCTCTCTAGATCTCCTAGTCTCCTCACATTGCTTATTATAAGTTTCAGCTTCATGCTATAAAAATTCCCAGTAGCTACTACCCTACCTCTCTGGTGTCTTTGTCATCAGGCTCCTTCAAAGATTGGTATACGCCAATGTTTCTTGAAATGTGTTCTAAGGAACGACAGATCTGAAAAATGCTAACACAACAGCAGAAGAGCTCCTAGATCAAATAAGTTTGAGAAACCATGTTTAAGAGACTCATGATGTACACTAGCATAGAAAAGGCTCTAAGAAGTATATGGGACTAATGTTCCAAGAAAAATATTTTCAGTACAAAAGGATGTACTTGCATTAGGGCAATCAGGATTCCAATGTTAACAATCCATCAACATGGATTGGTCCACGGTAACCCAAGCCCTCCATCCCACAACATCCAATATTCATTTTTCAGTCTGATCTTACTTGCTCTGTCAAACATTCTCTTCTAGAACTCTGTTCTCCTTTGGCTTTCATGAGTGGTTTTCTCCTGGTTTTATTTTTACTTTTCTGGTCTCTAATCCTCTCAATTTCACTGGGTGATTTCATCAATTCCTAGAGCTCACACCAAATCTGTCCCTGTTTTAGAAGGCTATTAATTACTGATTTAATTTCTTCAATAGATATAAGGTTATTCAGATGATCTATTTCCCCTTGTTTGAGTTTTGGTAAACTATGTCTTTCAAAGAATTGATCCATTTCAAGTAGGTTATCAAACTCTGGGTACAGAGTTGTTCATAATATTCCTCTATTATTTTTTTAATGTCCATGGAATCAGTAGTGATAATCCCTCTTTCATTTTTTTTTTTTTAAACTTAAATTCAAGTTAGTTAACATATAGTGTAGTATTGGTTTCAGGAGTAGAATTTACTGATTCATCACTTACATATAACACCCAGTGCTCATTCCAACAAATGCTCTCCTTAAGGCCCATCACCCATTGAGCCCATCCCCCCACTGCCATCCCTCCAACAATTAACCCTTTTTCATTTATGATATTAACAATTTGAGTGTTCCCTCTTTTGGTCTTGGTTAGCCTGGCTCAAAGTTTATAATTTTATTGATCTTTCTAAGAACCAGCCTTTGGTTTCATTGATTTTTCTCTTTTGATTTTCTACATCAAAACCATTCATTTCTGCTCTAATTTTTATTCTCTTCTTCTGATTACTTTGGATTTAATTTGCTGTTCTTTTTCTAGCTTAAGATAGAAGCTTAGATTATTTATTTTAAGAAATTTCTTATTTTCTAACACATACAATTAATACTATAAATTTCCTTCTAAGCTCTGCTTAGATGGCACAAATTTTGAAAAGGTGTATTTTATTTTCATTTCATTTGAACTACTTTTTAATTTCTCATGAGACTCTTTGACCCATGTATTATTTTGAAGTTTGCTGGTTAATCTGCAAATATTTGGGGATTTTTAAGCTATCTTTCTATTAACTTACTTCCATAGATGAATTCTATGTGGCCTGAGAGCAAGTTTTGTATGATCTCTGTTCTTTAAAATTTGCTAAGATGTGTTTACCAGCCAGAACATGGTCTGTTTTGGTGAATACTCTTATGAGTTTGAGAAGTATGTGTATTCTACTGCTGTTGGATGAACTATTCTACAATTGTCAATTTAATCCAGTTGATTGACAGTACCATTCTGTTAGACTATATTTGGATATTCTCCTCCTCAAGCTATCAATTTCTGGCCCCTGGATTTGTCAATTGCTGATAGATGGGTTTACTAGGACATGTAAGCAGGAAGAGATAATGACTTACATAAAATACCTTTTCAGTATCTTTTAAATACTTATGTATTTTTTTCTCATCTGATCTATTAAAGAAGTGGATAATTTTAAACAATTTTCTAATACTAATCATTCTTGGATTCTTAAAGTTACTTTTATTTCTACTTTCTATGTCCTAGATGATATTTGATAGTCTATTACTTATGATTTTTACATCAAAATTGAAATTCAATTGTTCAGATTATTTTGGGGGTTTCTCTGGGTTTTGTTTTTGTTTTTTTAAGATTTTATTTTTTTTTAATGTTTTTATTTATTTTTGAGACAGAGAGAGACAGAGCGTGAACAGGGGAGGGGCAGAGAGCGAGGGAGACACAGAATCGGAAGCGGGCTCCAGGCTCTGAGCTATCAGCACAGAGCCGGACGTAGGGCTCAAACTCACGGACTGTGAGATCATGACCTGAGTTGAAGTCAGACACTTAACTGACTGAGCCACCCAGGTGCCCCTCTCTGGTTTTTGAATCATTATTATGGTGACTTTGTGAAAATGAATTGAGATAGTTTCCCTTTTTTCTCTACCAATCTGGAATAGTTTAAATTACACAGCAATTATCTGTTTCATGAAGACCCAAATGAATTCACAGACAAAATCATATGGATCTTGCCCAAATTTAAGAAGTCTTTAATAACTTTTTCACTTCTTTCATAGTTATTACCTTGAATCACTTTTTATTCTATGTTTTCCTATAGATCCCCAAATTTATTAGCACAGTTACACAAAATATTCTAGGTATTTAATTTCCTCTGATTGTGAATTTCAAGTAATTGTGATTTATTTTTTCCTTTCTTCCTTCTTTCTTTTCTCCTTCCCTTCCTTCCTCCCACCCTCCTTTCAATCCATCCATCCTTCTTTTTAATTAGGCAAGGTAAAATGATTATTTTCAAAGTGCAACATATCCTTGCTTTAACATATCCAAAGACCTCAGTAAGATAAAATCCAAATGATGTATCAATACAAAACAAAGTGCTTCACAAGTTGGCATTTAACTACTTCTCTATCTCAGTGCTGCCCTTACTCTACACTGAAAATGTCTGATTTTATTTATTCTTTCATCTTTGTACATGAAGTTCCCTGTCCTAAAAATGTCCCTTATTCCCTCCTCATCTTTTGTCCATCTGGATACCTCCTGCTGGTCCCAAGACCCATTCCATCTTGTGCCCTTTCTGGGAAGTCTTCCTTGAAGGTCTCAAACGTAAGATAAGTATCCTCATCCTATTCTTCTAGACCTGTAACTATTAATTTCCCTTGAAGCCCAATCCTCTCACCTTTTCTCTATCTATATTCAATTCCCAAAAGAAAGCCAGCCCCACAGCATTAAATACCATCTTTATACAGAAGGATTCTGAATTTTTATGCCCAGCTCTGACTTTGCCCTGTCAATTTAGTATCTCTAGGCAGATGACTACTAGATATCTGAAGCTTAATGTGTCAAAAATGGAAGTCTTGATTCTACTGCCTCTCCCCTGGCCTGTTATTCTTCACTGTTCCCCATCTCAGTGAATACGACCACTATTCATACAGTTTGCTTCATTCAAAAATCTTGGAATTATCCGGACTCCACTCTCTCTTATAACCCCATACCTCGTCTAGCAGTAAAACTTGCCATCTCAACCTTTAAAAATATTTCTTACCACTTTCATCCTACCACTATTGTCCAAAAAAAAACACCATTATCTCTTACTTAGACCACTGCAAGGACTTCCAAATTGAATTTTCTTCTTCCACTCTTCCTAACCTACAACACATTTATTTTCCACATGGCAACCAGTGTTACCCATTAATATATAAGTCAGATTATCACCACCACTCCCACTTTCTAATGGCCTCACGTTTCATTTCAGAATAAAACCCAAGGTATTTACTACAAGGCCAGAAAACATCTAACTCCCGACCATCTCATTTCTTACCACCTCTACCTCTAATGATAGATATATCACTGCCAGACTGAATTCCTTGTTATTCCTTGAACACACCTACTTGAATATCAACTATTGTACTGTTCCCTCTGAGTGCAATATTTATCTATCAGAAATCTAAAGGATTCTATTTCTCATTTCAATCAAGTCATTTATTTTTCTTCTTAGTTCTTGTCATCAACCGAGATCAAATGAGATTTTTGTTTGTTTATCATTATCATCCCCACCACAATATAAACTCTCTAAAGTCAGGAGACCTGTTGATTATGTTTATACCTGTAAATTGCCTGGTATGTAGTAGATGCTTCATAAAAACTTGTAGAATTGACAAGAGACCATGTATTTATTGTATTATTCTGGTAGTTCTCACATAGTTCTTTACATAAGTTACAGTGTCTGTGCTCCCTGTAGATTACAAACTCTAAATCCAAGGATTAAGTATTATTTCTCTTTCTACCCAAGAGCATACCAGATTGTCACATAGTAGGTACACGAACAATATTTGTGGTGGGGTAAATTAATAAATAGCCTCATTCTATTTTGTAAGAGAGTAAGGAAATTCTTATGAACAAGGAAAGCTAAGAATGCCAGCTTAATTATGTCACACATGGCAGGAACAAGGGGCAATTCTGCAGGAAAATACCTTGAAGACCTTCTGATTATTTTTGCCCCTTTTTCAGCATAAAGGTTTCCATCTGCAAGGGAAAGTTTTCTGGAAACAGTAGCTTAGGAAAATACACAACATGTAGCTGCTATAATTGCTGTGTTTATACTGAGTTCTGGGTTAGTTGGTCTGAAACAGTCCTGGTAAAAATAAACTTTCAATGTGTTTTAAGCAATCAGTGTTTCCAATAAGCACTTGTCAACATGACCTTTAGTGGTCTCCAGAACTTCTCCTTTACTAAGTATTTAACTGGCTACTCAACTCCTATGGCTTCCTGTCTGCCCTTAATTTTCCCTCAGCAATTTTAATGCTGGAACAACAACAAACTACACAAGCCATGCTTTGGGAGGATTTCTGACCATAATTTGAAAAGCCCTTGAAATAAGAAAATTGAGGTGGATTAAGGGAAGAATAGCAGTACATTCTACATATTCCCCATATGAGAGACAAGTATAAATGAACCTCACACTCTAACTCCCTAAGTCCCTCTTCTCTGGTGAACATTCAACTACAGTCCCTCCCACATTTTCTTTCCCAAGAAGTCTTGGCTTCCACAGTAAATTAAGTGGAAATATTTTTGATGAAAGTATTGCCCATCCTCCTTAATAATGCTAATATTTAACAGTAATCATAATTTTTATTACACTGTCTAAGGTGATTCTAAAGTTCTTAAAGCTCTTACCATACTCATTTTTGGGTCCTCTTTATCAGATAAATCTTTTCTTCGCTATAAGAGTTTCAACAATAATATAATGAAACATTATTGAAAGTTTGCAAGTAATGATACCAATATAAGACAATGTATAACAGAATTTTTTTTTAGGTAATTTGAAATGAATGACCCATGGTCACATACATACATAAAGAATATTTTGTGAACATCTCTTTTTTTTTTTTTTTTTTTTTTCAGATTTACTGGAGTATAATTGAAAATTTAAAAAAAAAATGTTTTTTGAGAGAGACAGAGACAAGAGTATGAATGGGGGAGGGGCAGAGACAGAGGGAGACACAGAATCTGAAGAAGGCTCTATGCTCTGGCTGTCAGCATCAGCCTGACACAGGGCTTGAATTCGTGAACCATGAGATCATGACCAAAGGTAGATGCTTAACCAACTGAGCCACCCAGGTGCCTCAGAAAATAAAATTATATTTAACATGTTCATTATGATGATTTAATATGTGTATATACTGTGAAAGGATTCCCATCATTTAGTTATTAACACATTATCTTAAATATTTATTTATTTATTTTTGGTGAGAACACTTAAGCTATATTCTCTTAGAAAATTTCAATTATACAATACAGTATTATCAACTATAGTTACCGTGTTTTACATTAGATCCTCAAATCTTTTTCATCTTACAGCTAAAAATTTATACCCCTTTACCAATTTCTATTTCCTCTACCTGCCTCCCCATGCCCTGGCAACCACTTTTCTCCTCTCTGTTTCTGTGAGTTTGACTTGTTTGTTTGTTTGTTTTTAAGATTCCACATAAAAGTGATAGCATGCAGCATTTGTCCTTCTCTGTCTGGTTTATTCCATTTAGCATAATGCCCGTAAGGTCTATCCATGTTGGATGGATGGCAGAATTTCCTCATTTTTCTTGGTTGAATAATGTTCTATCAAATATATGTACCACATTTCCTTTACCTATTCATTCATCCAATGATAAACACTTAGGTTGTTTGCATAGCTTGACTGTTGTGAATAATGCTGCAATAAACAAGGAGGTATAAATATCTCTTCAAGATAATCATTTTTATTTCTTTGGATATATACTCAGAAGTGGGACTGCCAAATCACATGGTAGTTCTATTTTTAATTTCTTGAGTAATCTCCTTACTTTTATCCATTACAGATATACTGGTTTACATGCCTGACTACAGCACACAAGGGTTCCCTTTTCTCTACCTCCTTGCAGGCATTTGTTCTCTCTTGTCTTTTTGATGCTAGCTATCTTAACAGGCATGAGGTAGTATCTCACCAACAGTAATCTTTTCATGTACATATTAGCCATTTGTATATCTTCTTTAGAAAAATGTCTATTCAGTCCCTCTGCCCCCTTTTAATTGCATTATTTGGGGTTTTGCTATTGGGGTGAATGAGTAATTTACATATTTTGGATATTTAATGCCTTATCAGCTATATGATGTGGAAGTATTTTCTCTCAATCCATCAGGTGTTTTTGTGTTTTGCCTTTGTGTTCTGTCCTTTGCTGCTCAGAAGCCTTTTAGATTAATGTAGTCCCACTTATTTATTTTTGCTTTTGTCGCCTTTGCTTTGGTATTAAATTTAAAAAATCAGTGCTAAGACCAGTGTCAAGAAGCTAACCCATTGTTTTCTTCTAGAAGTTTTGTAATTTCAGATCTTACATTCAAATCCTTAGTTTGAGTTGATTTTTGTATACAGTGTAAACATGGGGGTCCAGTTTCACTCTTTTGCATGTGGCTGTCCATTTATTGAAGAGACTATTCTTTCCTCACTGTGTGTTCCTGTGTTTACACCTTTGTTGTAAATTATTTGACCATATATATACATGAGTTTATTTCTGGCCTGTCTGTTCTCTTCCATTGATCTATGCATATGTGTTTATGCTAATACCATACTATTTTGATTACTAAAACTTTGTAATATTATTTAAAATCAGGACATGTGATGCTTCCAGCTTTGTTTTTCTTTCTCAAGATTGCTTTGGCTATTCAGGTTCTTTCTCATTCCTTTTCTTATAACACAAAAAGAGATCTTACTAACAATTTCATCTCATAAAATATAATAAGCAGCTATGAATCAAATTTGATTTTTTTGTCTTAAATCTATTCTCAAGGGAAGGTGCCAATAAATAGGGAAAGAGGATGAAAGGATAGGAAAAAGTTGACACCAGTGGACATATATCAGGATTGCAATCTACAACTTTGTATCTAATTAATACCAACCTCAAAAGGATGAAACAGATTTGATTCCAAACTAAAATAATCAAATAATAACAATAATAACAAAAACCCAAAACCACAGGTTGGCTTTTATGTCAGAGTCTACCATTGTAGTGTTTAAGATGTTAGACTACTTTTTCTGCTTAATATTTATTTAAAGGTCACAAGGCAATATAAAGGAATTTCTTAAGGCCTTTTTAATAAGTCATTCACTCTCCAGAAATTCTCCATCAATCTATTTTCTGCTCTACAAGAGTGTCATTCTTCTCATTTGATCAAACTCAGGATCAAAGCTAGTGCTGTGGCCTTGTGAAATGATTATAAAATTGTTAACTACAATAGTAAGGGGCAGAAATTCCTCACTAAAAAAGTGAAAAAAAATCTGGACACAGAACACAAAGAAGCAAGGACAGCTTATTAAAATAAAATTAATTGATGTTGATTTTAGTTACAACGACTATTAGCTAGACCATCCTTAAGAATTCTTGACTAAAACGAGGGCCAACTGAGGAAACAGTCATTTTCAAGTACAAAATACAAGGAAGATTTAGTGGACAGAGATTCAGACATTTTTAAGTCAAAAAATCCAGAAATTAGCATTGGCATTTGTTTTTCTAAGGAAATTATAAGTACTTATTCTCAAAACCATATTATGAATCATGTTACTAGGCATCCTGGGAGAAACAAAGCCATCTTGGGTAGAATGGCCCAGACTCTGTATCTCGCAGGCAGTTTTACCGTACTATAGAGCCTTCTCACCTTAAAAGTTGTGGTGCCATAGAGCTTGGTGGTGTGGACTGTCTCTGGAAGCACATTAGTGATGTTGGTAATGAATTCTTCCAAGTACTTACAGGACTTCTCCAAGTGTGTCGTATTGATAATAATCTGGACAAGCTAGAAAATATCAAGCACATGTAAGAGTCATTTGACTATTCACCCCACAACGAATACTCAATAGGAATCTACCGATAGAAGAAAAACAAAAGTTATAATGGCAGCGGCCATCTATATTCTACAAAGGGCTTGTAAGAGCATGGTCTTAGGTTGTACTTCCTCTATGAAGCCTTCCTTGACTTCCCAAAGCATCTTGTATTTATTTCCCCTACTATAAAAGCACTTGTCATTCTATTTTAAATGTATATCTTCTGTTTAAGAGATTAGACTAAGAACAAAAACTGCTAGTGTTTAGCACAGGTGTCTGGCAATAAATGACTGCTAAATGAATTAAATAAATGAACTCCCACTGAAAGAACAAGAATAACTGAAACGGCAAGAAGTTTCAAAATGAATCATAATCAACACAGAGATGTTGGAATAGACTGCAGTATATTAACAAACTACATTAGTTTCTAGAAGAAATAACATGGACATTACAGTCAGAGAAACAAGTGGATTAACTTCTTTCAAATTAATAATCTGGAGAAAGTTTTTTAACTTCTCTAATGGCTGCTTTTTTATCTGTAAACTGCCAAAAATAATTTCTAACTCACATAGTTACTTTGAGGATTAAGTATCCTTTTGTTAATACTATTTTCCTTTTCTAACAGGAGAGATCCTTAAAAACGACAGTATTGGTAAGATAAAAAGTCATTTATAAATAACTTTGAGAGGAGGATGAGAAAGAATGGCTCTTACTGTCTGTATAGAATTAAAGTTTGTAAAGTTACTTCACAATTCATTTTCTTACACTGTATTCCCAGCGACCTGGAAAAGTAAGTTAAGTGGGCATAATTATTGCTTCTATTTTACTAAACAGAAACAGAATGAAATGATTTTCTCCAGCTCACATAACCTAAATGGAATTAGGACTCAAATCCAAGTCCTCTACCTTCAAATTATGGACTCATCGAAATGACTTCTGATGTTGCCTTTTAGCATAAGCATAAGATGGCGGGGGGAGGTGCACATTTACCATACATTAGGCCAAAATAATAGTTTCTGGGTCTGTCACCAACTAGACCTCGAAATGCTTTGATTCCTCCCTTGTAAAAAATAAGTTTAAACTGAAAAAAGGAGAGGTACCTATTACTTATTCTAACTATGAAAAGTATTGACATTTCGCAGTCTAAAAGAAATTTGAAAAGAAAATGGAATAGAGTCTTTTTTTGTCTCTCTTTTCTACATGTTTAACTTTTTGTTTGCACAAGACTGTGTGTGGCGGCAGGGCTGTGGAAGGTAGGGGAAGTTTGGGTGTATAAGGTTACGGATGAACTTAGGTGTACCTTATAGTCCAGTGAGAGAGTGAGCCGGGGCAGAGTGGGTAGATGACACAAAGGGAAATCAGAACTGAAGATGAAGGTGGGGGGGGGGGGGGGCAAACATACATTTTACAATCAAATCGTACTTCAAAACAATGTTTAAAAGTTGAATTACACCTCAGTAGAAGCCATTGTATTATACTGTGGAATATGACACAAAAATATTAATAGGATTATAATCAGAAAGTACACTCTTATCTCCCCAACAGCAACCAGCACAGGGCTAAAGCACAGTTCATTCTCAAAGAGTCCATGTCAAATCATAATGACAATGCTTTCGTAATGGATTGGACTAAGGAAAAAGGTACTCAAGGATCTATTCCCCAAGGATCAGCTGGAAAATGTGAGGGAAATATCTACTTTTGAAACATGAAGACAAAGGGCAGAGACCCAGAGATCCAATTCCAAACAAATGAAATGCTAGGGCAACATTGGGACTTGATCTCTGTATTATTCCCCACAGCCTATCAGACAAGTTCATATTCATCACCCTTCCCTTCACTCTACAGTTTGAATTTGGAGACTCTGAGCCTTGGACACAGATATGATCTCCTACAAAATTACCAAAAACATTAGATATTTAAGCGTAGAGTGCTCTAGGAAAGAAAACCTACCGAAATAAGCAGTTCATCACCCTCTTCCTTTCAACACATTTCTCCCTCAAAGAAAGGCTAAAATCGTTTAAAAATTTGTAATTGTCTAAATTAAATCACTCTTCTTCCTGAGTGGGAGGGTGGCTACCGGCAAGGTTGTCTTGATGTATAAGTTAGAAAGTCAGAGAGCTAATTTGGAGAACTGAAGAATTTCTATTTTAAAGTCGCATTACCTAGAGGGAACATATTCCATCTATCAAAAGAAATCCTAATAATAAGGAGGAATCATGTCATGTTATCGAAATAAAAAATAGTGGCAGTCAAAGAGAAAATTGTCCTGTTTTGCAGGATATTGGCAGTTAAAAAAAAAAAAAAAGGAGGCGGCTTCACTGGGTACAGTAGTAATTTCCCTTGACTTTTTAAAGATCTGTCAACACAAAAGATCACCATGAATTACATCAACTGGCTGTCAGTCACTTTTGAAATGTTTCATTGCCTAGCACAGAATAGACTATTAAAACACTCTACGATTACATTAGATACCATGTCATTTTCAAAAGGAATATTGTCTGTTCATGAGGCCTAAATGATCTCTACTTCTGAATGACAGCTAACCAAAATCTTTACAAGGGCATTTACAAATGTGAAGCCAGATACTTTAGGGGTAATTCTGAACTTAAGGATGAAATGAAGCAATTTCAGATATCAACTTCCATCAGAGTTTGAGCTCCTTTGATATTTTTAACCCCCACTTCCCACTCTCTTCCATAAATATATCACTGTAGCAATCCAAACTGTCCTTAGTATTGTTTCAAGGACATGGCATTAGCAATAGATTAAGTATTGGTTATAGCTTATATAAAGCAGAGTTCTCTGAGGATTGCCTGGAAAAAAAAGAGAGAAAACACTATAAAGCAAACAACCACCTCTCACACATGAACGACATGAGTCACTTAGGTTAAAAACCATTAAGAAGCAGAAAATATTTCAATGATGAGGAAAGCACAGAGCAGAGTGTGGAAGTCACCTGTTACCTTCTCACATCCTCTGTTTCCCAAAGCAGAGAATTCAGGACACTGAAGCTCCACAAGGACAGACCCAAAGCAAGAAAATGAGAAGTCACCCCACCCTCCACACTGCTAGTGCTTCTCAACTGTTGGATTGGCAAGAAGATGAAGAACTAAATAGCGGCCTTGGTTCTCATTCGCAAAAATAAACTCGACCTAAGATTTCAAGGATATTTTTTCTCCGTTTCACCCAGCAAAGATTAAAAAAAAGCTGGTTCGACTACCAATTTTTTACCATCTCCAAAGCAAATACCTAAAATACTGAAGTACTTGGAGCTAGTGGTTCCAAATTCAAAATCTAGTACAAAGCTTATATTTGACAAGACTTACTTACAAAATAAGTGATATTAGCGATATCAGTGCTGTTAACAACAGGGGATGGCAAACAGTGATATGTGGGAGATATACAACAGGATAGAGCTACAGGGTCATCAATTTAAATGATATTAAAAAGAAAGGTGGAGGGGCGCCTGGGGTGGCTCAGTCGGTTAAGCGTCGGACTTTGGCTCAGGTCATAATCTCGCGGTTTGGGAGTTCGAGCCACATGTCGGGCTCTCTGCTGACAGCTCAGAGCTTGGATCCTGCTTCCAGTTCTGTGTCTCCACCTCTCTGCCCCTCCCATGCTCATGCTCTGTCTCTCTCTGTCTCTCAATAATAAATAAATGTTAAAAAAGTAAATAAATAAATAAATAAAAGGTGGAATGCAAAGCATTGGTCATTTATTTGGGTCTCCTGGGGCACTGTTACAAATATAATTTAAATATATATATAAATATTCAATGTGGTATCACCAATAGGAAATCTTAATTTCTTTAACTTAACCATAGGAACCCACCTACCTATCTTTTTTTTTCTTTCTTCTCTTCATCAATTAAGAACTCCTCTGTGCCAAGGAATGAGAATACAGCTGTACATAATTACACACACGACAGACAAGGCCCCTGGCCTTGTGGAGATTAGAGTAACCACAAACTCATATAAACATGCAGCATAACATCAAGTAGTAATAAGCACGCTGATGGTAGGGCTCAGATAGGTGGTCGAGGAAGGGCTCCTTAAGGAAATGACATTTGAGTGGAGACTTATATAAAGTGAAGTTATATTATTTCTATTATCTACAATAAATACAATTTAATCCAATTTATACATTACACCTTTCTATCAACTCATTCTTCATAAAGAAGTAAGATGTGTTTTGATTCATCTTAAAATTTTCTTTCAAACGTAACTAATTCTCTGATATTCTGAGATTAATATTAACTGGTGGTTTATTTCCTTCCTCTCCATGGTACTGATGCTTCTAAATTAATGTAGTGCAAGAGTAAAGGTTCAGAACAAAGGAAATCTTATTTTAAACATTTCAAATCTTATTTTTAAAAGAAAATTTTGTATTTCAAAACTTGTCTTAAATCTTATTTCCAAACTACTTACTGGTTGTGTGGCCTTAGGCAAAGTTAAGATCTCTCATCATCTTAAAATTGAGATAATAGCATCAATGTCATACCAAAGAAATAATCAATAGATTACAAATTATCACATATAAATATTATATAAATGATAAAGTACTGAATGTAATATATACCAAATTCGTGAAAGCTATTATTGATATGGACTTACTTAACATATCTCCCGTTAAATATGGCTTAAGAAAATCTACAACCATTCTGACTAGTCTCACTTTAATTCCTATCCATTAGCCAGAGTGGGCACTTAATGCTACAAAATAACCACATTATCCAGCACCAACCAATCTCTTTTCCATACCCCAAGATGTACTTTCTCTCTGCTTCAACCCCAACATTTGCTCTGGATCTCTACTTTCCGCTGAAGATCTATCTTTCACTGAGAAAACAGAGCATTTGGAGTATTCCACCACAAAATATGCCCAGCCACCACCATCTGCGTCCACATACACTGAGTCTCATCTGTTACCAGAGATGAACTTTACACCATCTAAAGCCAATCCCTCTGTTTGT